AACAGCTTTTAAAGGTATTTCAGACATTTTGATTTAAAAAACTGTTTATCAGCACTTATTTGCCAAACACATCAAGAACTTTTTTTTTAACTTCAACACTTTTATCCAAACGCATAACTGCTTATTTTAAAAATAAGTTTCAGCACTTTCAAAAGTATTTTTTTAAAGTTGCTTTTATTAAGATCATCCAAACGGACCCATAGTAAATATAATTAAGTATTACATCTATATCCATCTTCTAGATTTATTCTTTTGTTTTCTCGGAATAACCTATTTTTTGGTTCTATCGTTTAGTAGCATTTCTACATATATAATAAATGTTTAATTTCTTTTAATTTTCTTTATATTTTGAATTCTTTTAATGAAAATTATAACTCCGCTATAGCACGTTATACCTAAATATTCTTCACATAACAATCTTATTTTCCTAGATTTCTTTGAGCTTTTTAACATTACGATTTCTTTGTACAAGTTTTATACGAGGAAATGAGATAAAATAGCAGCTTACAAATTATAATTAAGAAAATGACTTTCCTTTTCTGTATTTTTTTTCCAATTATTTTTAACAGATTTTCCTATGTAGCATAAGAGAAGCCTATGTATACAAAAGTTAAACCTAATCAAACTTTCATTATTTTGTTGTTTGAAAGCAATGTAATATTTATTTATGAAAGAGTGATATATATTTTAAATTATAGTTCTAGTTAATAATATTTAATGATCAACTTTAAGGGAGTAAAATGCATAGTTTGATAATATTGTGATTTTCAATTTTTTGAAAATTAAGACGATATAGTTGATTTGTATTTCATGATGAATTTAATACTATGCATTGTTATGCTTGTAAGATTATCATCTAGATAATTTGTTATCTATGAATTTTTTGAAGCTTTAATATACTTTCTACATTTTTTGTATTATTATGTTAATTTGTTAAAGTGTAAATTAAAAAACTAATAACGTGTATATCCCATATTGTAGAACGCATCTTCTCACTCTCACTTTCTAAAACAGTGATTTGAGCACCCCTACTTGACATTATATATGTTAGCCAATCAGTTAAAGAAGAAGTAATGCAGATCGCTTAAGTAGGTAATTAAATATGTTCGATCAATGAAGTTCAATGTACAAGCCATATGGTGTGAATCCGTTAGTTTGTTAGAGAATGTACATCTGTACATTGTTAGGTTGATAACTGAATGTGTATAAGCTGAACTATAAATAATTAACTACGTGAATGTAATAGTCAGCTAAGCAAATTCAATGTAAAAGTAATCTTCTCTTCATTTCTTCTCTCTATAATCCTTTTCTTTCTCTACAAGTTATCAACTTATGAATCTCCATTAATGGAGTTTATATGGTATCACATCCCAAGATCATAGGCTCATTCCACACACAAATTCCGTCATTAGGTGCTCATATCTCACCAGTGTTTTTTAGGTGAATCACAAGGCAGCATCAAAGACAAATTGAAGTATTTTTCTATTCATTCAAATGGCAATTCCAGCTGTTACAAGTGACAGTGCTCCATCCATGGTCGTTTTTCCAACGATTGATCATAATCACCCACTCTTTCTACAACATACAGACACTCCAGGTAGCTCACTCATCTCTCTCTAATTAACTGGATCTGAGAACTATGCACTATGGAGTAGATCCTTTAGGATTGGACTTGTAGGTCGAAGCAAGTTAGGGTTTATCGATGGTCGTTTTCGTAAATCTCTATTCGAACCAGTGTTGCATGATCAATGGGAGAAATGCAATGTTGTGGTGTTATCCTGGATCATGAATGCAGTTCGACCTGGATTGCTGACTTCTGTTGTGTATGCTTCTGATGCTTGAAAAGTATGGTTGGATTTGAAAGAGCGGTTCGACACTGTTAATGGATCTAGGATCTTTCATCTTAATAGGGAGATCAACACTCTCTCACAAGGAACAATGTCAGTTGCTGACTACTTCTCGAAATTAAGAGATCTCTGGGATGAGTATGATGCACTCACGCCCTGTCCTTCATATCCTTATCTAGAGTCAAGGAAATTTGGAGAACATTTTGAGTACCAAAGGTTGTTACAGTTCTTAATGGGTTTGAATGAGTCCTATTCTCCTCCCCAAAGCCAAATTCATATGATGAATCCAATTCCTACAGTAAATAAATCATATACTCTTCTTATGGATCAAGAGAGTCAAAGGAATTTGGTTTCCTCTGCTTCAATTGATTCAGGAAATGGTGCAATTGATGGCACAACCTTGTACAGTCACAGAGGTACTACGTATACCCATGGATTTGGATCCTTGAAGATAAGTTCATCAATGACAAATAGAGGTTCTACT